AGTGTAAAGCTATAAAATTTCAAATATTATTATAAATTATCTCAAACATTACTTATGCAACAAAGGATTTGAATTGCAATCTTCATAGGCGGAAATATTTGAGTAGTTCTAGTCAAACAAGTTTGACCCAAAATTTTAACTCTACCTAATAAATTCTTCTTTTGCCACTTGAATGGAATAGATGGATAGTTTAGCTAGTTAATTCCCCAAAATAAACGACCAGGCTAATTGATAATTAATATTTTAAACTCAGGCCTATGATTTATCTTTATTCAAAAATCTTTTTTTTTAGAATCTGATATTAGGAATCATTCTGGAATATCGGAGAACGATGATTTTGGAGTAATTTCCGAACCTAAGAACTGTCTCCAGAATTTTAATTTGGAGAAAGAATTGGGAAAAAGTAATGCAATAATCTCAAATAACAATTTGACAATTTATGCCAGCAAATCCAGACATTTGGAAAGGCCAGTCTATGAAAGGGAGCATATGCCAACATACCTGACCCAACCGGACCATTTAGAAGATCAGCAGCCACCTTCACGTTTGATCACTAGTAAAGAAGGGACCCATCTTAAGCGCCCTTGTATATCTTCTTGCAATCAAAACGAGGTAAATTTTACAATGGGTGGCCCTGTACGGCATTCCCTTAATGAGACCTGTTCAAATCAGGGCATAGACGATGGTTCTAGGATATTTTGGTCGGTATTATCCTGGCCATATCATAAAGCTTTATCTTCTAAGAATTCTAATTTATGCACAGAGGCTGAAAGTATACAAGAGTACGGTCGCGCGCCTTCTTTCAAGACGGATGGTATAACTGATACAACAAAAAGTTGGTTATTTCTCTGAATATATAATCTAGCTCATTAGGCTATGAAACTAAAAGGCAATAGTAATTTTATCTTCTTGGAAATTTTAGCTTCAACAATATCAAATACCACTTCTCCCCACCAAGTCGCCTCTACATGTCTTATTCATGAAACTATCAGTGCGAATTTGAATCAAGAATGCAATAAAGAGGAGCAAGCCATCCAAACACCTGGTCTTAGAGTTTGGAGGAGGTTGTCAGCTGACGGAAGGGAGCTAAAGATGCCAAAGGTCACATTTGCTATTGGAAATGAAGACAAACGGCGTTCAAACACTCTTTCTCGACTTCATGATGTCTCATCTGAAATATCAAAGGAAAATAAATCTAGTGAACTAGACGAAAATGGTATGTCCAAATCTAAATCTGCCGTTGAGCCTAGATTCAGCAAGCTTAGAGTATCTTCCTGTGGAAGAATTCATCCTTATTCACATGAGTTCAATCCGTCTGGAACTGTTGATAAAAAAGTATTACAGCCTTCAGTAGCAAGTTTACCTGCTTTACAGGTCTTAGAAAATCCTTTGGAGCCACAAAATGGTTCTCATTTAGCATCTAAACAGGATTCAGATTTAAAGGACTATTCGGAGAAATTGAAAGCATCTACCAATTTATTTGAGTGTCCAGAGCCAAATCGGGAGGAGAACGGGCTCGTAAATGCACAAAAGATGGAAGACATTAAAAAGGTTATAATAATTACGGTTAATAATTTAATTGACTACCAAATACACTAGCTTAAAGTATAGTATAGAAATGGATTATATGGTTTTTAAAAAAATTATTCAATTTTATTGTACAAGTCTATGATTATAAAA